AAAAGGCGGTCAGCCAAGCAACAGCCTTACCTAAAATCGATTCGCATACTATAATCATCCACTTATCTCCGCCACTCCGGACATAAGCGAGCTATAAGCTGAAAATTGCATAAAGCTCCAAAACAGAACGCCAACAATCATCATCATCATCAAAACATAAACACTTATTAAGTAATATTTATGGATAAAATTCTAAATAAGGTAGTACTTTGATTTTAGTACTTTGATTTTATTGGTTGTAAAGTAATAGTGGTGATTGTAACTAATTTGAGTATTCGTTAGAAATTGAGGGTTCGTTTTAACTGTTTACGTCGGGGAAAAAAAGAATAATTTTCAATCACTATGTTGAAAAATACTCTTATTTGGATAAAAATGATGAGAATATTAATAGGAAGTATTTACTAAGTTCATTTTTATAAAGAGTATCTTATTTTATTGCACTATCTTCTGTATATTAAAAGAAAGTATCATTATCAACTGATTGGAGAAAAAGCAGTGATGGAAGGAAAACAGCAAAAGTGAATGAGATTCATGCTTCGTAAGTAATTAGGTACATTAAAAAAACACTTATGCTTATTCTTATATTTAAAACTTAAGTTATTTATGCAGTGTGTCACAATCGTTACTGTCTCATTGATGGAAATCTAATAATGTATATCATATATATACAGATAGATAGAAATTCATAACTTAAACATAGTATAAGATGGTACTATTCTGTTAGTGGGGCACAAGCTCTGGTTATTTTTAAATTTTCTTTTAGGAAATTTAAGTTTTATGTGTTTAAAAAAATTTTTTTTTTGTAAAGTTGATGGAAGTCTAAATTTTTTAGTGATTTTACATATTATTTTTTTTTTCTTTTATTGCAATATAGGGGAGATTTCCGTATTAAAATCTGTGGCAGAATTGGCAGTCGCCAAGTCTTGGCAACTCTTGGGCAGCTGCCCGCTAGAAACTAAAAAAAACAGAAATGGACAAACTTTAAAGATGTAACTTGTAACCACCTACAACTGTCCTACATGATGTTTAGTGTATATGTAGGTATACCTTTGAAACAAAAACTAAATAAAAAGTTATTATTCCCTTTCCTTTATCTCAAGGATGAAGCACTTTTTAAAGCTCGAAGTATAATCATATGAAAGGGCAAAGCTCTGGTCTTTGGGGTCAGTGACGCTTGTTACAGATTCTCTTCATATTCTATCTGTACTAAAAGATATAGTTGTTTTAATAATCTAAATTTAATTCGATTATTATAAATTTATAAGACCTGCAAACTATTGATTTTTAATATCTTTTCATGAATGATTAATTTTAAAAGAATTACCAAGTGTTTGATGCAAATGGATGACATCACATTATGCATTTGCTCGGACCCATTAGTTTTTCTTTAAAAAAATATATAGTTTTCATTTATGAATTTTGAATGTAAATTAAAATGCTATTAACAGCTGAGTAAAAATTTGTAAACAGCAGTGTAAAAAAAATTTTTCAATACGCATTTTGCGTATGTCTATTTTTTTAAACACATCTTAAACTGTGCTTATTTCCTTAAATTACATTTAGAGCTCTGTTTTCATTTTCTATGTCAAAAGATGTGTCCATTTTCTTAAACCTGCATTGTGAGGTGTGACCAGAATTAAAATGTCACCATCTGTATTTTAATTTCTTTATATTAATTAAATTTGCAAAAAGAAGAACGCATCTATTAAAAATAGAAATAAAAAAAAAATAGTAATAATAATAAATGAAGGAAATAGGTAGCACAGCATTTAAATCAGACAAGATTTCAAACATTTCAACAACATTTCAGAAAAATAACTGATTGAACAAATGCTAATGGTGCTTATGTACAATAATAAGTCAAATGCACCAAAAATGGTAGAGGAGATATGAAAAATAAGTTATTACCCTCATCTTGGGATTTGTAATTCTGCAGTAAGGAGTATTTTAAATTTCAGGTTGAACCCGCTATATTATTATTCTTATTTTATAACTGTCGTCGAACAGCCGACCCAATTTTTCGGGTATATGACTGCTAATGTTCAACTCCATAGCTTTGTCATTTTAAACCCAATCCAGAAGACAAGGGAACTCCTAGATTAAGTATTGGGAGGAATTTGCCTTTGCGGAGGACTTACTGATGAAACTAATCCGCATTTGTGTTACATGGAGAGAGAAACCTCCCACAGTTAGCCTGATGACGAGGGAACTCTAACCCATGATCCGTCTACCATTGAGGATATTTTTGCAGCACTGTAGTCGGTGCAACCTCGATGCGGAATTCGTATCGACCAGCCATCGCTGTGATTCCAATCCGGTTCACCTCATTGGAGCAATTACGGCTCCCACTATATCATTAGAAGTACACTTTAAAACACTTCTTATGAAATAGGTGGAAATGAAAGAATGTATATCTAATGATTTCCTTTTTGGACATGTTAGAAAAGCATTGTTCAAATGTTGTTGTTTTTTGTTTTTTTTACTTTTCGGATTTAAAGCACATCTGATTAAATACACTTCTTATTAAGAAATATTTTTGTGATCAGTAAATACTGATATTATGTGGGTCATATATAAGTTATACTTGTCTAAATTATAAGTAGCAGCATGTTACTTCTTGTTTTAACCCATTTGTGCCAGCATTCTCAATTCAGTTTTATGAAGTTTTAGCAACATTAAAAGTAACTCTGTCTTTCTATTTTTTATTCTCAATTAAATTAATACTTGATTACGATTAATAGAGGGAAGTATTTACATTCATAATAATGTACACAAAACTAAATACAAAAAGATCATCATTTGGCTAATAATAGATAGATCATTCAATGTTTCTGCTGCGAGAACAATTATTTTTGAGATATTGAATCATTGTCAATGGCTCGGCAGCCCAGGATGGGCCTTGGCCTTCTCAAGAAGTTTTTACTGCTAGCGTTTTCCAGTTTTTAATACCAAAAGCTCTTTTTCTAGGCCATCTATCCATGTCAAATTTGGCCTACCTTTGCTTCTTTTTCGTGTACCAACTGGTCTGGCATTGAAAACTCTTTTTGTGATACCATCTTCATCCATTCTTATAACATGGCCTGCTTATTTTATTCTTTGTCGTTTAATGAAGTTAATAATGTCAGGTTCATTATATGAGTGATGAAGCTCTAAATTTGTTCTTCTAAGTCACTCACCATTTTTTTCAGTTCCTTCAAAAATTCTTATCATGGCCTTTCTTTTAAAGGTACCACATTTTGGCTATCTTATTGTCTTGTAAGTAAGGGAAAAATAAAGAAAGTTAGAACAATTTTATATTTTATTATACTCAAATAGATTTGCGTCGATGTTATTTTTATATGGCATAGTGTAATTTTAAGTAGTTCAAATTTAAAATTAAGAAGCAAAATTAATTCATCGCAATGTTTCCCTCCTCCAGTGCGTAAAAAACCCCACCTACAGAGTTATGTGAGCAAAATTATTACCGAGCATTAAATATGTATTTATATATAACAGGGTTCTCCCTAGGAATGGAAAAAAAGCAGGGTGCTTCCTTACAAAATGGGGAAATTTCAGTTTTGAAAGGGCACTCACTTATCAATAAAATTTATCAAAATGTGTAATATTATGTAATAACTGAATTTTATCCTCAATTTTTAAATTATCCTCTTATACTATTTTATGTGTATATTTCACTATGTAATTCTCACTCAATATCAAAATAACAGAAAAATTTTCAGCTTTTGAAAAATAATGAGACAAGCTAAAAGTCAATGTGTATAAATTTTCTTCAAAAAATGTAAACTAAAAAAAAAAGAATATTAATTGACATGCAACTTTAAAACTTTTTTTTTATTTTAAACTGAAACTTAATTTTTATTTTAATGAGAAAATAAACAATTAAAGGTGCAATTTTTTAAATAAAAAGATATTCATTTAAAAAAAAAAAGAAACACTGGCAATTTTCAAAATCATTAAAAGAATCATTAATATAATTCCCCCCTAAATAAAAGATGTCTCTGGGGCCGAATATCATGTGAATTTTAACTATATAATTAGACAGTTTAAGAAACAGTTTAGTAAAAAAGAAAAGAAAATGAAAGTTAAATAATTATCATTAACTAAATAAATCACAAGTGGACTCTTCATTGAAACAGGTGGTTAAGAAAACAACCTTTTCCGGAAGAAAAAAATTTATATTATAGTTGTAACCGTCGTTGAGCAGCCGACCCAATTTCGGGCCTACAACTACTAATGTTCAACTCTGTAGCCTTGTAATTTTGAATCCAGATGACAAGGGAAACTCCTGCATCAGTACCCCCAAAGGTATGATATATTATGGGAACATGGAGGACTTTGTGACCTGACATATTTAATGCGCCCCAGTCGCCATTTACTACACAGGGAGCTTTTGGTCGGCCGGGCCGGCACCGATCACATGACGTCATGGTTATGGGGCCAGTACTCTACCAACCAGGCTATTCCGGTCTAAATAAGAATGCAATGCTTTTAAGAAATGGCAGCTTATTTTAAAAAAAGGGCAAGAAGGGCGCATTTATGAGGATCAAGGAGCAGGCAAGGCAGGCTGCCCTTTAAAAACCCTAAAGCACTGCATTAAAAGACAACTTTTATCAAATTACAACATTACTTTTCCTTGATCAGTCCTAATTCAGAGCCTTGATAGTCATGAGAGCCAAAATTTCTGCTAATCAGAAACAATGAAATTCAACATCATTGAAAAAAAAAATCATTTAATGATTGAAATTTTTTTTGAAAAGTATTGAATACAAGCACATTAGTTTCATTTTCTGTTTTAGCAAAATATTTTGCAGATGTATATAAGAGTCTATTTAGGCACATTTCAGATGTACTATTTCTCAAGTAGCTTTTTAAATATTTCAAAGTTGAAAATGGCAGTACAGGTTGTTTCAAAGTCTAGTCTGCTGTGCTAGTCATTAGGCAGTAGCACTTTTCTAGAGGCAGAATATATACTTTTTTATTCTTTTTTTTAGGAATTAGTTTATATCGAACCATTTTTTCTCTTCATGATAAAGTATTTGAGCATAAAAGGGGAAAAGAAGTTCTTTCTTAGACTCAGAATATCAATAATAGTATACAATAAATGAACATTTGAATTTTGGAGAAAAAAAATTTATGCGTACATGTCTCTTTGCACTTCCCCTGAAATATGCCACTGACAGTTTGTAGTAAAATGATAACCAAAATTCTATTATATACAAAAATATTTTTGTATTTTGTACCTCCTAAAAAAGGAAATGAAAAGAATTCCCTGCTTTGATAATAAAAAATATTTTTCATGGCATTTATATAAAAATGAATATTATTTTATTTTTCAGGAATGTCCTTCTAAGTTGAATATTGCCCAGGTTTTAATGAGTGTGTGTTAAAACAATAGCCACGGAAAGGTGTTACTGTGAAAAATCATAGAAAGACCTATTAATTTAAAGGTAGATTATAATAATATTGCCAACTATTTTAGTGTGATGTTTTTGTGTTCTTCATTCATTCCATTGTATGACTTAAATGAATTGTTAATTTCTTCTGTTGCTTAATTACTGCTAACAACTTAAATGCTGCTTTCAGTGTCTTTTAGTATAATGTGTAGTAATATTTGCTTTCTTCAATACATAGACAAAACCTTTATTCTTGTAAAAAATTTAATGCAGTTTTTCTAATCATCATTTTTAACCTGGCATAAAAATTGCAGTTCTTGTAAAAGCCTTGAATAAGGTTATTGAGCTGTAAATAAGTTGATAGAGGTAGACAGTCAGTATGAGTTTAAAAGACAATGAATTCCTTAATGATCATGCTGATGTGAAACCTTATTCTTGTTATAAGAGTTTCTTAGATAGAAGTCATCTAACTGAGCACAATCTTGTTCTTACTCGAGAGAAACCTTATTCTTGCAGTGTATGCAATGAAAGTTTTTCAATTTCAGAACATTTAACTCAACATAGTCACACTCATAGTTTTGAAAAACCTTATTCTTGTAGTGTGTGTAATAAAAGTTTCTCAAAGATGACACACCTAACTAGGCACAGTCGTACACATACTGGTGAAAAACCTTATACTTGTAGTGTATGTAATAAAAGTTTTTCGCAAAAAGAATATCTAACTGTGCACAATCGCATTCATACAGGGGAGAAACCTTATTCTTGTAGTGTATGTAACAAGAGTTTTTCACAAAAGCAATATCTAACTATACACAAACGTATTCATACTGGGGAAAAACCTTATTCTTGTAGTATATGTAATAAAAGTTTTTGCAGAACGGAAAATCTAACTAAACACAGTTTTACTCATACTGGTGAAAAACCTTATTGTTGCAATGTATGCAATAAAGGTTTTTCAACGATGGCACATCTTACACAACACAGTCGCACTCATGCTGGACGAAAACCTTATTCTTGTAGTGTATGCAATAAAAGTTTTTCACAGAAGCAATATCTAACTATACACAGTCGCACTCATACCGGAAAGAAACCTTATTCTTGTAATGTATGTAAGGAAAGTTTTTTAATGAAGGCGCATATAATTCAACACAGTCGCACTCATACTGGGGAGAAACCTTATTGTTGTAGTATTTGTAATAAAAGCTTTTCATGGAAGCAACAGCTAACTAGACACAGTCGCACTCATACTGGTGAAAAACCTTATTCTTGTGACATTTGTAATAAAAGTTTTTCACATGAGAGTACACTGTCTGTGCACATTCGTGTTCATACTGGTGAGAAACCTTATTCTTGTAGTGTATGTAATAAAAGTTTTTCGCAGAAGAAACATCTATCTAGACACGGTGGCACTCATGCCGGAGAAAAACCGTAATCTTGTGACATGTTTTAAAACAGTTTATCCCTGAGGTTTATGTTAACTATTTACAGTTTTGTTTATACTGCTGAGTAACTTTACTTTTGTAATGAGTGTAATAAAAGTTTGTTACATTATAGTGATATAGTTTTCCATTGTTATTTTCATTGTGCTTAGAATAGTAATAATAAGTAATTAAAATGACAAAAAGTAGTGACGAGCAAATAAAATCTTTAAATGTTATATACAAGCCTTCTGGGACTCTCTAATCAAGCGGTTTTCGCCATTCCCCCAAGTACTGTGTGGCATGGAAATAATGGGTTTGAATTGCATTGTAATCCTGGCTTTGCCCCCTAATGATTATACCTAACTCAATCAGACTTCTATTTAACGAGCATCCATTTTGCGAATTTCTCTATTTTACTATTTTTTTTTTTTTTTTCGAGGAACCAAGAACATTTTGGAAATTTCTTCGTAAAATAACCTTTAAAAAAACAAAGCGAATTTTCTATTTTAGGAACTTTCCTTATTTTTCAAGATATTGCAGAACATTTCAAACTTGCTTACACATTTTATGGGAGAAATGACCTCAAATTGATTTTCACGCCTCTTAACTTTTAGAGAAAGTAAAATCCTTTTCCCTTATTGTTTGCATTTCATACAGAAAATTTAGCTTTTATTAGTTGAAAATGTATGTAGCATGATAGTGTAACATTGGATAGTGTTTTGTTCTATTCTCAATTTCCATGCAGAGACTTCTTTTATGGTTAAAATTTATAAAATATATAGCAGATAATTTACAATTGCTATTTTAATTATGTCTAATGTTAATGAATTTGAAACCTGTTTTGTGTTTAAGTTTTTCAAATGGTATTCTATTCAACGAATTTTTCATATAGTGAACTTTTTAATGGGATTTAGCGACTTCGTTAAATAGAGGTCAGACTGTATTGACGTTAAGTAACGTTAATTAACAAGAAGTAGGCACGTATTAACTCGTTTGGTCTTTAAAAGAAGGATTGAAAACTAAAAGGGGCCATTTTTCGTAAACACGCATTTCGAGCTGTGTCCGGTTTTAAAATCTCACAGAATAAATTGATGAGAATCTGGCAAAACTCACTTGAGTGTTGTTGGAAGTTTAAATTGAGTAAAAATCAAGGAGAGTTGCGAATTTCAGAAACTGCTATTTTTTTTATTTTTTAAAATTCCTTTTTTGTGCTTTTTTTCATTGGATGTTTTTAAAAAGAGTCAATGTTTCCTTTTCCAAAATGAGATATTCCTTCTTAACCCTGTAGATTTTCGCCATGAATTATGCAAAAAGCGGGTTTTCACAACGTTCTATTCAATGTATTCACAATTCATTCAACCACTACAAATTTCGGCGTCGTGTTGGTCCGTAGCGTATGACAGCAGTAATCATTTGACATGTTTAATGAAATACTTACGGGTCCGTGTACCGAGCTGCATTCAGTGGGAAGGTATTTTTGCACTCTCATTTGCCACCCTCCTGAATTTTGCAAAGAATTCTCAATTTCAGGCTTTCTTTTCCTAATTGAACCGAAAAATCTCTCTAAATTTCGCTGATCTTGGGGACCAAGTAAACATTCCTAAATTTTTCCCCGAATAACAAAGGAAAACTTTTATTTCTGTTGTTAATTTCATCATTGGTGAAGCGCTTTCGTCATTGCCAGGTTAATAACCTCGCACTATTCTTTATAGATGAGTACCATAATTTTTGTACTTAGCTTGGGGATCATTCACTTATTATGCATTTTCCTATGAATCCCCAGAGCAGTCAAGAATCACAAAGTGTCAAAAAATATTGAGAATGATTGCTCTAAAATCTTTAAGTTTCCAAAATCAGCTACATTTCAAAAATCTACAATGGCCGAGAAACTAATTTTTTTAGCATTAATTTCCGTTGAAAATTATTTTAGTGAATCTCATACTGTTTGAATGTGCTTAAGGCACGAAAAAATGAATTTTTAATGTGTAGTATGCTTTTATATTTGCATGCCACAAAATATTATGCTCTTTAAAAGTAGTGCCCGCCGTTTATTAAAATCACTTTCGTTTTATGCTCTTTTGATTGTATTAAGTGCCTGATTTTAGTAAGAGGCGATTCAACATTTGAAAAAAAAATTTACAATATATTCTAAATGCTGAATGCTTTAAAAGCTGAAATAATGACCGCATTAATGCTTTATTTTAACTAATTTAATTATTTTAATAAAGTAAAACCCTACATAAGATTAAATTTACAAAAGTTTTGCAAAAAACCGATCAATGGTTGCTTGAGTTGCAGTATTTAAAATTAACTTTTCAACATCAATTGAGAGTTTATAGAAGTTTTTATGGTTTTCGATATTCCTCTTTGTGCATCTCTCTCTGTGCTTTTCGATATTCCTCTTGTATTCCTCTTTGTGCTTTTCGATATTCCTCTTTCCAGCTTGCCGCAATACATTAAGTGCTTTTCTGACTTCGATTGAAGATGGCACTGGTGAGTTTATTTCATCTTCTGAGTCTGATTCCTCCATTTCTTGATGGGAAGTAACTTTGCAATTTTTGATGTCTGTAACAATTTTAGAATCAGATTTTTCTCTTGATGTTTGCAGGTTATCGTCAATAGCTACGTAACGTGAAAAATTCTCGTCTATTTCATTTTCTTCATTGCTGATCATTTCTTCGAAACAGTTATGAGCCCCATCTCCATCTTGTAGCTTCACGTTGACTACATTTAGGAAGCTTATCATAGTTTTGCGATGCTTCGAATTTATCTTTAAAACTCAAAACCTTCCTTTTTGGCATGCTGAGAAAATTTAACACCAAACGAACTTAAAAATGATATATGCTCTAACTATAATTTACTGAAACGGCTTAAATAATATGGAACATGTGCACAGACAGTTTTTGGAAATCTATTCATGTTCTCTGTTAAGATAGATAACAAAAGAAACTTCTCTCCCTTCTATGGTTCATTCAATTAAAAGTAAGATAAGAATTCGACCCCCTGTTGAGTGAGAGGTTCCTCCAAACTTCATTCAAGTCAAGGAATTAACATTGATAAATTGATTTCTATGAACTCGCCGCTTACCACCCGCATTTTTCCTTAACTCTTACACTATGTATATATAGTCCATTCCACCTTAAGTTGGCACTGGAGAGAAAGGTAGGAAATGTAATACTCCGCCTTTGAAAAGTAGTTCTTCGCTATTTTGGAATTAATTGCAGTTTAAATGCGCGTACAAATATAAATAAATGTTGCATAGTAAGAAAAGTATGTCTTGAAACATTCATTAGAAGTTTTTCATGTTTAAATGTATTNGGATGTTTTTAACATGTATTAATATTGTAACGATTCGGTTCTTGCCGATTTGATTTTATAAAACGGCTGATTTTATTATCCGATGATTTTATTAGCGGCGGTCACTGTACCTGTGATAAATATTTATTCTGGAATACTGGAGGGTATATTCTCATTAATTTAACCACTTTTTTTAAACCTTGAATGGTTTAATTGTTATTTTTCTTGTTCATATATTTCCTAAATAAACTTGTATCGTTGATATGGATAGTTATGTGGGAGAAATAATATAATTTAAAACAAAAAGCAATTTTTTTCTAAAATGTGAATACACCAGGGAGACAATTCAGCCGGAAAAAATATTTACATTTATTTTCCCCTTCAAATGCAGCTTCTTTTTCCAAAATTATGTTCAGGGCGTTGTAAGAATCGCAAGAACCTTCTCCGCCCACAGCACTGCCTCGGCATCTCTGATTTTTCTTGCGTGAGTGAGAATGGTCCTTAAATGACTCCATAAATGGACAAAAGTGGCAGTCAATAAGCGCCATCTATGATTACACAATTTCCATGATTACGATGTGTTCGGGTAGAAATGGGCAACAATAAACGTATGCAAGCTAAGATTTTAAAAAGTTTGAGGAGCCAGTAAATGTATTTATAATGTTGAAAATACCCTTATATTAACTAAAATGATGAAATACATATTCTTGGAAAATATTCATTAAGTTCATTTTCATAAAGAGCATCTATTTCATTGCATTATCTTCTTTATGTTGAAAGAAAGTCTCATTATCAACTGGGAGCAAGAAAAAGCAGCAACAGAAGGAAACATTATCTTTGTAGTCAAAATGGATAATTAAGTAATTATGTACATTAAAAACACTTTAATGTTTAGTCTAGCATTTAAAATATAATTTATTTTTTACAGTGTGTAAAATCTTTAGACAAAAAGTGTTTATTACTGTGGAGTAACTACCACTATAAATATTAAATACCAATTCAGTAGTATATAAGACATTAACTTGATTCCTTCTTGAGGTACCTTTTGATTCATGAATGTTGACATAGTCGATTTATAATTCCCCTCATTACCATCCCATTGATGGAAATTTAAAAATGTGTCATCAAATGCCTATAAATAGAAATTCATAAGTTGACGTATGATTAAACGGTATTTTTGGGTTTGTTAGATGTAAATTCGATTGATTTTTTTTCATTTAGTTTTTACCTGTTTATAAGTAAATTAAATATTCTTTAAAAAATGAGTCCGTGTTTAGATTTTTTGATAATTTCTCTCTTATGACTGATTAACCGAAAACGGGTGATATTTCCATGTGATCTGCCTCTCCATCTGCAATTGCTAAGTTGCCAAATAGATTTTAAATTTGCAATTATTAAATTTTTTTTTGAAAAAAATTTTTTTTTAGATGTTTGCCTTTAGGTGGCTATTAGTTATGCCATTTAAGTTGGTCCCTTTCTGTGATTTTTTTTTTTTTTTTTTTTTTTTTTTTTTTTTTNGTTTCTCGCAGGCCTCTGCCCGGAAGTTGCCAAGATTTGGCGATTATTCTGTCGCAGATCATGATACGGAAATCTCTACCCCCCAAACTGATGAAACATTGATACATATATCTGATTTTGAATTTCAATTGCTAATTTTTCTTTCTTTTTACTAATCAAAAATAATACCAATATTAATTAATTGTTAAAAAAATTAATGTATATAGATGTCACCATCATAAGTCCCGCAGTGGGCTGATCATTAATACACGGTTCCCTGCAGATCACCGAAGTCAAGAATCACTGGCTACAGCCAGTGTGCGGGTGAGTGACCACTTGGATCAGTCTGTGTAGGGACCGAGGATGTGCAGTATGGGTCCTCATTAAATTGTTGTACCATAAAGTGCTCGACTTAGTGTGCAGTCGTCGGACTACCGAAGCGGCTGTGCCATCTCCTCTGCAAAGGATTAAAATTGTGATGGCTTGTCCTCAGAACATCCTCAGGGATGTTTCCCAGACCGTTGCCAATAGCCCAATTGTGCAGCTCCAAGGCGATGTAAAAGAACTACAACAAAAACCACCCTAAAGTGTTGCATGATAGCTGTTTTTTTCATTTCAGATCATTATTTCTAATTTGTTTATTATTGAACTTCGGTAAATTTTTGTATCAATTTCTGCACCGAACTGATCTCCAATATTTGATAACTTCTAGGCAGTTGATTCGCTAGAAACTTTCTCGTAGAAAGCATAAAAATTATCCCAGAAAGGGACCCATTTGTAGGGTGAAAAACACGGGCAAGTAAACCTCAAAATTTAGTTTTTTTTTTTTAATAATTTTTTTCAGGTTTAAAGCCTCTTTGATGCTCGGAAAATTGTTGATGAGCTACGAAAAGTAAGTTATTACCTTTCCCTTGGGATATATAATTCTCCTGTAAGGGGTGCATTATGGAAGTATGCATTAAATTTTCAATTGAACCCCATCATGTAATGTAAGTAAGGAAAAAATTGAGAAAAGTAGTTTTAAAAAGTAAAGAAACATCTTTTGTAGTGCAGGGCTGATTGTGCTCCGGAAAAAATCCTGATTTCCGGATTTTTCGCTAACAGTGATCCGGAAGTTTCCGGAGATCTAAAGTCCAGTCGTTTAAAAAAATCATTGATCACTTAAGTTTCCGGAAATCAAATTTTTAAAGGTGGAACTTAAAAACACAGTTTATTTAATTTGTTTGTAAGGGAGAGCCACAGAGATACTTTATAAGCTTATATTCATGATTAATATTCATTTTTTATCACTAAATAGTTGTTATAATCATAAACTCAAAAAAAAAAAAGACATATTTGTAAATTTTAATTACTTCTCCAGGTCATCATAGGTATGTGTAAATGGTATAGGTATGTGTAAAATTTTAAATATATTTTAAGTAAACTAAGAAATATTGAGAAAAAGGAAAAAAACTTGTTTAAATTTTTTTTCTAATTCCTCAATTTAAACTGGTTTTTTCTTAAACTCAAGAACATTTCCGGAATTTTGACTTGGGCTCACAATCACCCCTGGTAGTGTACCAAGTATGGTTATAGTGACAATTATCCCTTGTTTTGCTCTATAAAACCCACCAGTGTTGGAGAAAGCAATAAAATTTTTCAATCTCTTTCCTCTATATCAATTCTACTGTTTTTAGTGAGAAACTTCCGTATGGACAACTAGTCCAATTTTATAAATAATATTTATTCTTGTTCTAAAATATGCTATGCACTATATGCATAAAGATACATTTTTTTTTCTTTCAGATTTTTTCTTTTAAGTTGAATTTGCTGCACAATGTTTCATTAAATTTGAACTTAACCTGCATTAATAACCACAGAAGGGTTGTCTTACATCTTAAAATTTGCTTCTACTACCACTGAGAAAAATTGAAGAAAAGAATTTTCATTGCCAAATGACCAAAATAACAATGAATAGTATTTAATATGATATTTCTAAGTTATTGAATCATTCATTTTATTGTGAAATATGTATATATGTGTCAAATATAGCTTAAATACTTCTCTTGCGAAAATACTGCTAGTAACTTAAATACTACTTTCAAAGTATTTTAATGCAATGTGTTATAATATTCGCTTTTATCAGTTACTCAAGAAAACATTATTTAATTGTGACAAAATATTTATTGCAACTTTTCTAAAAATCTATTTTAACCTTGTATAAGAGAGTGCAACCTAATAAAACATTACAATTATTGTTCATGTAAGAGTTTTCTCGATAGTTTGGCTAAACTTAAGTTAATTAAGGTTTGCAATCAATATGAGTTTGAAAGACAGCAACTTATCTAATGTTCATGCTGATCTGAAACCATATTCTTGTAGCATATGTTATAATAGTTTTTTAGATAGAAGTCATCTTACTGAGCATAGTCTCATTCATACTAGTGAGAAACCATATTCTTGTACTATATGTAATAAAAGTTTTTCGCTGAAGAATACTCTTACTAGGCACAGTCGCATTCATGCTCGTGAAAAACCATATTCCTGTAGTGTATGCAAGGAAAGTTTTTCATTAAAGAAACTTCTGACTGAGCATAGGCTCAATCATACTGGTGAGAAACCTTATTCTTGTAGGGTATGCAATAAATGTTTTTCATTTAAGTGTAGGCTGATTGAACACACTCGCGTTCATAATGGTGAGAAACCTTATTCTTGTAACATATGTTATAAAAGTTTTTCACTGAAGAAATCACTAACTAGACACAGTCGCACTCATACTGGTGGGAAACCTTTCTCTTGTAGTGTGTGTAATAAAAGTTTTATAACTGAGAGTCATCTGATTGAGCATAGCCGTGTTCATACTGGTGAGAGACCTTTCTCTTGTAGTGTATGCAATAAAAGTTTTTCATTTAGGAGTAATCTGACTGAGCACAGTCGAATTCATACTGGTGAAAGACCTTATTCTTGTGATGTTTGTAATATGACTTTTTCACAGAGGCAACAACTTTCTAGACACATTCGCATCCATACTGGTGAAAAACCTTATTCTTGTATTATATGTAATAAAAAATTTTCGATTAAAGGTCATCTGACTGAGCATAGTCGCATTCATACTGGTGAAAAGCCTTATTCTTGTAGTGTATGTAATAAAAGTTTTTCATTTAGTAGTAATCTAACTGAGCATAGTCGTGTTCATACTGGTGAAAAACCTTATTCTTGTGATGTTTGTAATATGACTTTTTCATACACGCAACAACTTACTAGACACATTCGCATCCATACTGGTGAGAAACCTTTTTCTTGTAGTGTATGTAATAAAAGCTTTTCATTTAGAAGTGATCTGACTGACCATAGTCGCACTCACACTGGTGAAAGACCTTATTCTTGTAGTGTATGTAATAAAAGTTTTTCATTCAGAGGTCATCTGAGTGAGCATAATCGCGTTCATACTGGTGAAAAACCTCATTCTTGTAGTGTATGCAATAAAAGCTTTCGATTTAGAACTACTCTGACTGAGCATAGTCGCATTCATACTGGTGAAAAACCTTATTCTTGTGATGTTTGTAATAGGTCTTTTTCACGAAAGCAGCAACTTGCTAGACACATTCGCATCCATACTGGTGAGAAACCTTATTCTTGTAGTGTATGTAATAAAAAGTTTTCATTTAGAAATCATGTGACTGAGCATAGTCGTCGCATTCATACTGATGAAAAACCTTATTCTTGTGATGTATGCAATAAAAGCTTTTTATATAAAAGTCGTCTGACTCGACATAGTCGCATTCATACTAGTTAAAAATCATACTCTTGTCGTGTTTGTAATATAACTTTTTTATGGAGCAAGAACTAACTAGACACATTCGCATCCATACTGGCGAGAAACCTTATTCTTGTAATGCATGCTATTAAAGTCTTATGAGAAGGTATATACTATCTGTCCACAGTTTTGTTCATACTGTTAAATAGTTTTAATTCTTAAAAAATAGCAATAAAAATTTGATTTTTACATTATAATGGTCTAACTGTCCACATTCATTATCATTGTTGTTAGAAGTCTTACAAAAGACAAAAGAGTTTTGAGAAGATTTATCTGTATACAGGCAAATTGAAAAGTGTCACCATTAAAGAATCTTATTTTTGAAGTTAGTTATTTGAGACAGGATTAATCTGACATATTAACACCCTTCTGCAACTGAAACGAGCTTCTTCGATTTGATCTCCTCGATACTCATCGCTATTCGAAATTCTAATTCAACTGATCATTATCGAAGTAAAAGGGTTGTCTTTTCCTGACGGTCACTTGTGCTGTACCCCCCGAATGGAAAAATTCATATACGTTTTCTCAACTGTGGGCTAGGAGAGAATTTTTAACTCTGACTTTCAAATTACCGTCTGCTCACCAAGTTTCGATCTCATATTTGTGTCCGTAATCACCTGAAATATTACTTAAACTTTTTAAATAATTCAAAGTATTAACTACATTTTTTTTAAAAATGTTTTTTCAAAGTTGAATTGAATCGTTATTTTTTTTTCTAAAAATACGGCTGTTAGAAAAAGTTAAACTGAGATTTTTGGGGTTATATATATATATATAATTTTTTTTTTTTTTTTTTTGAAAATTAAGATCGATTTTTGTTTCGATTTCTATTAGCTTTTTCCTTTAAAAAAAAGTACTTCGATTTCTTTTAACGCTTTTATTATGGCGCAGTAATTAAAAGTGTTTCTATTAGACTTCATTCTTTTTTCACTTATTCTTGAAAATACTGTATTATTGGAAAACTCAGATGTTCAGCTTTGAAATTTTCCTAAACCTTTTTTGCTATTTCTTTTTTTTTTTTTTAAAGCTGTATGTTTTTCTATTTTTCTTAAATATTTCGAATAGATAGCTGTTATATTTTTTTCCTTCGCCCCACCCCATACCAATAATATTGCTTCGTTATTATTAATTTTCAATAAGGATTAAACTTATTTATATATGAAAAATAATATTTATTAATGATTTCTAAAAAAAAAGAAAGAAGTTTCGGCCAAAATCTATCCCTACTATTTATTTTCGGGATTCAAGATAGCTAATATGTTAATCTATGACATTTTGAATTCGTAATCATGAGCCAACAAATCTGCCCTACAGATACCTCAATGACTAGTATCAATTGGGTGGAAGGAAAAACAACATTTTTAATTTTTCAAACGTCTATTAATGTTTTTAAAAAAAATTGTGATTTTCCTAGTTATCGTGTATTTTAAATATGATTTTCTAAAATAATATAAAAATTTTATAATTTTCCAAAGTTTTGTAGAATTTTATAGAAAAAAAAATACTTGCATTTAAACCGTGGAGCAATATAAATAATGAAATGCGCATCACGTCTTTGTAGTGCGACAAGTATAGTAATAGTCTACTGCCATTGTTAGCTACTATTAACTATATTTTTGCTCTATGAAACAATTGAATGAACTGGAAAATGATAAAATCTCTCCCCACCACCATAACTCTGCTTTTCGGAACCAAGTCTGTTTTTCTACTACCTCCCCATTTTTCAATCAAAACACCGCGAAAAGAAATTTTGTATAACTCTTTTAAAAAAATTATCTATTGACAAGAATATTTCGCTGGAAAGTAGGCGGAGGGGGGGGGGACTAATCAGCCTGAATGTTTTTTGATGAAATGATTAAAGTCAAATATGCTAATTAATCAGGCACAAAAACATAATTTCTCAGAACTTATAAGCGGATTCCTCAAAGTACATGGGGTATCGTTGAAATATGTACCAAAATTTGGTCTATATAACGGTTCAAACTTTCGATGCCTAAATTTTAATATAACTTTTGGTGTATTTCGCCATCCGTCGAGAATTTTTTTCAGCGAATCTAAACATTTTTGCACACGACTTAAAATTCCTTTATCGTTTAAGTTAATTATATGCAACAAATAAAGATCAGTGTTTACGAAAAAAGCTCCAAATCTGTGTTTTCAAAAATGAACTTCGAGCGAAATACATGATTAGGAAGAAGGGCATGTCTAATTGACGTATAAAGAAATACAGTCGGAATTCTATTTAACGAACTTCCATTTTGCGATTTTTTTTTTTAGGAACTTTGGAGATTTCTTCGTAAAATAACTTCCAAATAGCGATGTGAATTTTCTATTTAACAAACTCTTCTTTGATATCTCCTTTCCCTATTTCCCAAAATATTTCAGAGCATTTCAAACTTGTTAACGAATTTTATGTGAAAAAATGACTTTCAATTGTAAAATCCCTTTCTCTTTTTGTTTACTTTTGAAATGAAAAGCTAAGACAAAATTAACGGATTTTATCAGCAGCAATTAAACTTATGTACGCATGGGGTAGTGTATGTTTAAAATTACTTTTATAATAAATGCAGCTATAATTTTATACATGAACTTAGCTTTTTTTTTTATTCAAAATGTATGTAGCATGATAGTGTAACAGTGGATAATGTTTTGCTGTATNGTATTCAAAAAAGTATACAAAAACTAGACGTTAAGAACGTATCCAATGAGCGAGCATTGGATTGCGAAGCTTTCCGAAATGAACTGCGAAAGCAGTTCCGGGGGTTGGCGAGCGAGCAGGGGGCGAAGCCTCCTAGTTAACTATATTTTTGCTCTATGAAACAATGGAATGAACTGGAAAATGATAAAATCTCTCCCCACCACCATAACTCTGCTTTTCGGAGCCAAGTCTTTTTCTACTACCTCCCCATTTTTTAATCAAAACACCGCGAAAAGAAATTTTGCATAACTCTTTTAAAAAAATTATCTATTGACAAGAATATTTCGCTCGAAAATAGGCATCAACAAATCGTATTTCTTAAACAGTGCGCGGGGGGGGGGGACTAACCAGCCTGAATGTATTTTGATGTAATGATTAAAGTCAAATATGCTAATTAATCAGGCACAAAAACATAATTTCTCAGAATTTATAAGCGGATTCCTCAAAGTACATGGGGTATCGTTGAAATATGTACCAAAAGTTTGGTCTATATAACGGTTCAAATTGTTGATGCCTAAATTTTAATGTAACTTTTGGAGTATTTCTCCATACGTCGAGAATTTTTTTCAGCGAATCTAAACATTTTTGCACACGACTTAAAATTCCTTTATCGTTTAAGTTAATTATATGCAACAAATAAAGATCAGTGTTTACGAAAAAAGCTACAGATTTGTGTTTTCAAAAATGGACTTCGAGCGAAATACATGATTAGGAAGAAGGGCATGAAAGATGGACATGTCTAATTGACGTATAAAGAAATACAGTCGGACTTCTATTTAACGAACTTCCATTTTGCGAATTTATCTTTTTTTTTTTTTNTTTTTTTGAGGAACTTTGGAAATTTCTTCGTAAAATAACTTCCAAATAGCGAAGTGAATTTTCTATTTAACAAACTCTTCTTTGATATCCCCTTTCCCTATTTCCCGAAATATTTCAGAACTTGTTAACGAATTTTATGTGAAAAAATGACTTACAATTGTAAAATCCCTTTCTCTTTTTGTTTGCTTTTGAAATGAAAAGCTAAGACAAAATTAACGGATTTTATCAGCAGCAATTAAACTTATGTACGCATGGGGTAGTGTATGTTTAAAATTACTTTTATAATAAATGCAGCAATAATTTTATGCATAAACTTAGCTTTTTTTTATTGAAAATGTATGTAACATGATAGTGTAACACTGGATAATGTTTTGCTGCATTCTTGCTTTCCAGGCAGATTTCTTTTACTGTTAAGATTTATAAAAATAAAAAAAGTAGTAGATATTAGTTTGCAAGATTAAAGTGTATCAATTGCGAATTTAATTATGCCTAGTGTTTATGAATTTAAAACCTGTTTTTGTGTTTAAGTATTTTAAAAAGTGATTTTATATTTAACGAATTTCCCACATTGGCGATCGCAACACTCGAATACGCCATCTGGGGAGAGACCGGTTTCATGCCCTTCGCCCTTCCCTCTCCTCCTCTTTTCAGTTGTATAGGAATGTACTACGATATTTTCCCTTTTCTTAATATTTTTCCTTTTTANTTTTTTTTATTGAAAATGTATGTAACATGATAGTGTAACACTGGATAATGTTTTGCTGCATTCTTGCTTTCCAGGCAGATTTCTTTTACTGTTAAGATTTATAAAAATAAAAAAAGTAGTAGATATTAGTTTGCAAGATTAAAGTGTATCAATTGCGATTTTAATTATGCCTAGTGTTTATGAATCTGTTTTTGTGTTGTTTAAGTATTTTAAAAAGTGATTTTATATTTAACGAATTTCCCATATTGGCGATCGCAACACTCGAATACGCCATCTGGGGAAAGACCGGTTTCATGCCTTTAGCCCTTCTCCCTTCCCTCTTTTCAGTTGTATTGGAATGTACTACGATATTTTCCCATTTCTTAATATTTTTCCTTTTTATTTCATAAAAATATTTTTTTAAATTTCCGTGATACTTTTCATTAGAACTATGTTAAATGTAGTTTTCCAACTTAAAAGATTTTAATCTATATGAAAAACAAGAGAGAAACTAACGTACTTCCTTCCTCTATGACTTTCCACAGGCTAATGGGGAAAGCATGTAAAGTGTTGCCATAAGTAGAGAGATCTACAGCCCATTTCGATCGCCAATTACGAACTTTTTATCGGGATTTAGCGACTTCATTAAATAGAGGTCCGACTGTATATAGTATATATGGTTAACTGAATGTAAACAACAGCAAACTTTTTAGAACCGGATTTTTCTGAATTTAAAAAACGTCTGGTGTATCTCTTTGCTTATGTTATGCTTACGAGGTGATGTGTAAACAGGCTTGATATTCTAGAAAGTTTTTTTTTTTTTATTAAATGTAAGCGAAATTTTAACGTTCATAAAAGTTTTCTGTAATTTATGAATTCTAATAGGTCGAAATTTTTCTAATGAGTTTTGTTTTATTTTAAAGAAGAAACTAATAAATACAAATAAATGAGTAATATATTTCCTATTGCTTTGAAAATGTAACTAAAGTGGTCTCTTTTTTTAAAAAAAGGACTTTAAGTACCAACATTTGTTTTTATAAGGTTGCCACGGGTGCTATATATTTATAATAGCGATATAAAATTTACTTCTTTTATTTTTTAGAGTTTGTATACGAAAACATCAATCGAAAAGTGTAATTTAATAAATGTAGCCACATTGACCGCGAAGTTAAGGTCTTTGCTCTATATTAATTATGCCTAGTGTTTAATTATAAACTGAAAAGTAGACACGGAATTACTCCCTTAGTTTGGTTGAAAATTTCGTGAACACGCATTTAGAGCTATGTAAAGATTTAAAATATCACTGAATAAATTGATGAGGGGATAGAAATACTCAAATTGAGTTCATTTGAGTGTTGTTGGAAGTTTAAATTGATTAAAAATTTAAGAAGATTAGCAAAAAATCAAATGAGGAAAAAGATTATGATTTTGAAAAAGGTTTGAAGAAAAAAATTTTTTACACATTTTCTATATCCCATGAAGGATTTTTTTTTTTAATTTGAAATTCTATTAATTATTTTTTTCGTAAAAATACCGGAAGAGTCGTCCACTCCAATGCTTTATTCATAATACAGTAGGGAACCGATTATCCGGAACGATCGGGACCATCGCTATTCCGGATAGCTGATTTTTCCGGTTTTCTGAATCGCTACAAAAAGCCGTTTTTTTACTGTTAAACCCAACTAAAAAAAAAAAATTTTTTTTTTTGGAAATAATCTTAAAAAGAAGAAAAAACGATGAAGTAATACACTAATGATTATTTCCAAAATGATGGTAAGGTGAACATCTTTCAAAAAAGAAAGAAAAATCCTAAAATCTTATGAGGAAAAAAAAAATTTTTTTTTTTTTAAGAAAAATGGCGGGAAAATGTATCGAATTTCGTTCCGGTTTTCTGATTTCCGGATAACGGGTTCTGTACTGTATATACGAGGCCTGTCTGAAAAGTATCCGACCTTTGGCTAGAAAAAATATTTCAAATATCTGATGGAGTTGGGACCCTAATCCCCTTCAAAGTAGGCCCCTTGTGCTTCCACACACTTAGCCCATCGATCCTTCGACTGGTGGAAACACCTCTGGAAGTCTTCTTTTGGAATGGTGTTCAGCTCCGTTGTCGCGTTCCGCATTATCTCTTCTTTACTCTCAAAACGGGATCCTTTCAGCGGCGTCTTCAATTTTGGAAACAACCAGAAGTCGCAAGGAGCCAGGTCGGAAGAGTAGGGAGGTTGCCGAATGGTTGTAATTCCATGTTTGGCTAAGAAAGTGTGGATCAATTGGGATGAATGTGCAGAGGCGTTGCATGATGCAAGTGCCAGTTGTTCGCCTTCCACAAGTCTGGTCTTTTGCGCCGAACTGCCTCACGGAGTCGCCGGAGAACATCTTGATAGTACTCCTTTGTCACTGTTTGTCCTTAATGTGCGTATTCGCGATGCACAATTCCACGGACATCAAAGAAAACAGTCAGCATCACCTTGATTTTGCTTCGCACCTGCTGCGCTTTCTTCGGCTTTGGAGAATCGGGATGCTTCCATTGCGACGACTGTCTTTTTGTTTCTAGGTCGTACCCGTACACCCATGACTCATCTCCAGTTCTCACGGTATTCAGAAACCCAGGATCAGTGTTGGCGGTGTCCAGAAGGTCCTGTGCAACGTCAAAACGGAGGTCTTTTTGTTCCAGGAACAACAACTTGGGTATGAATTTCGCAGCTACTCGGTTCATGTTCAAATCTTCACGCAAAATTGCTTGTGCAGAATCTCTACTCACTCCAACCTCTTCTGCAATCTCCCACACTGTCAAACGACGATCTGTCATCACCAAATTTCGCAACCTCTCAACATTAGCTGCACTCCGAGCTGTTTGGGGTCTACCACAACGTTACTCACTCTCCGCTGATGTGCGGCCATCTTTGAATCGGATGAACCACTCCTTAATTTGTGTTACACCCATCGCTTCTTCTCCAAACACCTGCTGAATCTTACGAATTGCTTGGCTTTGAGAATCACCAAGCTTTTGATAGAATTTGATGCAATATCTTTGCTCAATTTGTTTAGTCATCTTACGAGAAAACTAAATCCGACGAACACTACGAACAGCACCTTACTTGGCGACCACCAGCCAGCGACTGGCACAACCGAACGCGGTGAAAAAATTCAAGCATGTGTATTAAGGTTCCTCCTTCCACAGTGCACGATGGTGCCGCTTTAGAATAATTACTTAGCGCGGGAAAAATTAAGGTCGGATACTTTTTAGACAGGCCTCGTACACTCACAATTCCTTGATTTCATACTCTATTGACACATTGTAGGTATATAATTTGGGGGAAGGAAGTTTTCAAATACACAAAAAATAAGTTTCATCTGGGAAAATAACATATTTCCTAAAAACGATGTTGGTCTTAAAATGCTAATTCGTGTTCAACATCCAAAAAAAAAATTTACAAAAAAAACAAAGACTGTCCCTGAACAGGTATAATTCTCTAATAAATGGATGTTATAATTTTGATGTTGCTGTCTAAAAAAAAAAAAATTCATTTTTCGCAATTAAAGTCATCCCCTAATATTGGATTAAGGACACTTCTCTCTGAATACATTTTTATTATTTTTATGTAAAAGTGTGTTCTCTTTTCTTATACCATCACATTTTGGTGATATTTGTAGAATATTGTCATTTGTGATCAAATTATATTTATCAAAATATTATTTTCTTATACGTTCGTCTCGCAGTGGACTGATCGTAAAAATACGGTTCCCAGTAGAACACCGAATACTAATCAAACATCAGGGGCTGCGGTCAGCGTGCGGGTAGGTGTCCACTCGAATCAGTATACGAAGGGACCGAGGGTGTGCGGTATTGGTCCTCGTTAAACTGCTCTACCGTAAAGTGCTCGATTTCGTGCGTAGGTCATCGGGCTACCAAAGCAAAGGAGCTCTCCCCTCTGCAGAGGATCAATATTACGATGACATAGTTTCGGATCATCTTTAGGGATATTTCCCAAACCGTCGCCAATAGCCCATTGTTCAGCTTTAGTGCGAAGTAAACTAAATACCTAACTACTACTTTTTGTCAATGAGATTCCGATTTCTCTGAGTCTCTCTCAAAGATGATCGAAAGCATGTAAACTGAATTCTGTGTCGATGGTTCTTAATCAGCGGGACTGCCACTGGTGACAATAAATATAACAAACAAATTATTTAATTTATTTACTCTAGTTAATTATTCATTCGTTACTGCCTTCATTACAGATTATTCATGTCAAGAGAAGAAAAAGTTCTTGACATTTTCTTTCAGTCGTAAATTGAAATAAATATGCTTGGAAAAGTTTTTAATCCAATCCTTTTTCGCCTTTTGCAAGTTACCACTTTTTACAATTTCAGTCGCCAGCAGCAACTCATAACAGCCCTGAGTTCACATCAGCGATTTTTCTAGCAGTAAGAAAGCGCCATCTATGACTTTTAAAACTTAGATAAATCTTCGACGGAGAAGCGGGTAGAAATAAAGAACGATAGACGTAAACAAATTCGAAATTGATTCCGTTTTGTATCTACAATGTAGAAAATACTCTAATTTTGACTAAAATGATGTTAAGTGTATTCATATAAAATATTTATTGACTTAATTCTCTTAAAGTTTATCTTATTTTATTGCGCTAACTTCTTTGCATTGAAAGAACACCTGATTATTATTGGGAGGGAGAAAAATCAGCAAAAGAAAGAAACTTCTTCCTTTAAAAATAATATTGGTTAGGGTTCTTTCTACCTAAGTAATTAGGTACATTCAAAAGCACTCATTTTGTTTCTTTATTCTAACATTAAATGAACTATTGCTTAACAATTTAAGTTCTTCTTTAAAGATATTTTAATACAATGTTTAGCAATATTTGCTTTCATCAATTACGTAATCAACAGAAAAACATTAGCCTTGTACAATTTTTGTTGCTTTTTTTCTAAAAATCTATTTTAACCAGGCATAAGAATTACAGTTCATGTAAAAGTCTTCAATAAGGTAATTGAGGTGTACAATAGTTGATAAAGTTATGCAATCAGTATGAGTTTAGAAGACAGCAAATCACATAGCATTCATAATGATGAGAAACCTTATTCTTGTAGTGTATGTAATAAAAGTTTTTCAAAAAAGCCTAATCTAGCTAAGCACAGTCTCACTCATACTGGAGAAAAACCCTATTCTTGTACTAAGTGTAATAAAAGTTTTTCACTGAAGCGATATCTAACTACACACTATCGCACTCATACTGCTGAAAAATCTTATTCTTGTAGTGTCTGTAATAAAAGTTTTTTAGAAAACTTTCAATTTACTAGACACATTCGGATTCATACCGGAGAGAAACCCCATGTTTGTAGTGTATGCAACAAAAGTTTTTCAAGATCAGAATATCTAAAAAAACACAGTCTATACAAACACAGTCACATTCATACTGCTGTAAAACCTTATTCTTGTAGTGTATGTAATAAAAGGTTTTCAGAAAACTTTCATTTAACTAGACACATTCGCATTCATACTGGGGAGAAACCTCATTCTTGTAGTGTTTGCAATAGGAGATTTTTAAGATCATACCAACTAACTAGGCACAGTCGCACTCATACTGATGAAAAACCTTATTCTTGTAGTGTGTGTAATAAAAGTTTTCCACATAAAGAATCTCTAACTGTACACTATCGCATTCATACTGGGGAGAAACCTTATTCTTGTAGTGTATGTAATGAAAGTTTTTCAAGATTACAATATTTAACTTTTCACAGTCGCACTCATATTGCTGAAAAACCTTATTCTTGTAGTGTGTGTAATAAAAGTTTTTCAGAAAAGACCTATCTTACTAAGCACAGTCGCACTCATATTGCTGAAAAACCTTATTCTTGCAGTGTATGTAATAAAAGTTTCTCACTTAAGGAATATCTAACTAAACATAGTCGCATTCATACTGGTGAAAAACCTTATTCTTGTGACATATGTAATAAAAGGTTTTCACATGAGTGTATACTGTCTGTTCACAGTCGTGTTCATACTGGTGAGAAACCTTATTCTTGTAATATATGTAATAAAAGTTTTTCATTGAAGAAAATTCTAACTCGACACCTTCGCACTCATACCGGAGAAAAATCGTTATCTTGTGACAAGTTTTAAAACAGTTTATCCCAGAGGTTTATGTTAACTATTTACAGTTTTGTTTATACTGCGGAGTAACTTTGCATTTACAATGAGTGTAATAAAAGTTTGTTACATTATAGTGATATAGTTTTCCATTGTTATTTTCATTGTGCTTAGAATAGTAATTATAAGTAATTAAAATGACGAAAAGTAGTGACGAATAAATAAAAGCTTTAAATGTTGTATATAAGCCTTCTGAGACTCTCTAACCAAGCGGTTTTAACCATTCCGCCAAGTGCTGTGTGTTAAGTAAGTGTGTGTTAAAATATTAACCACAGAAAGGTTGTCTAACATATTAAAATTAGTTTGCCATTGTGTTATATTGAAGAAAGGCCTTTTAATTTAAAGGTAGACTATAAATATAGTATTGAAGTATGATGGTTCTATATTACTCATCCATTCCATTTTATAACTTCGAAGAATTGTTATTAATTTATGTACTTCTGTTGCTTGATTACTGCCAACAATTTTAATACTGATTTCAGAGTCTCATAGTGTAATAATGTGTAGTAATATTTTCTTTCGTCAATTATTAAATGAATAGAAAGACGTTATTCTTGTAAAATTTTTATTGCAGTTTTTCTAAAAATCCATTTTAACCTGACGTAAGAATTACAGTTGAGGTAAAATTATTCATTAAGATAATTGAACTGTATGTAAGCTGATAGAGGGTGGCTGTAAGAATGAGTTTAAAAGACAGCTTAACATTCATGCTAATGAGAAACATTATTCTTGTAGTGTATGTCATAAAAGCTTTTCAAGAAAGCCCAGTCTAGATAAGCACAGTCGCCCTCATACTGGTGAAACACCTTATTCTTGTGACATCTGTCTGTACACAGTCGTGGTCAGAAACCTTATTCTTGTAGTGTATGTAATAAAAGTTTTTCACAGAAGAAACATGTAGCAAGATACAGTGGCACTCATACTGTAGAAAAACCTTATTCTTTTAAAATAAAACAGTTTTTCTCAAATGTTTCATTTTAACTGCTTACTGCTGAGTAACTTTAATTTTTTAACGAGTGTAATAAAAGTTTTTTTACATTATAGTGAAATAGTTGTCCATTGTGAGTGTCATTTTGCTTTGAAAAGTAATAACAAGTAATTAAAATGACGAAAAGTAGTAATGATTGGTTAAAATCTTTATATACAAGGCTCCAGGGACTACCTGACAGAGCACCAAACATTGTGTTGCATTGACGTAGCAGGTTTTAATCTCACTGCAATCCTGGCTAGAGTACCTTTGTGATGTCATAGAGGTGGTATAAGGAGTTAGAGAGAGCATCGCAATCCAGTCAGTGAGGTCCTACATGTAACAAGTGACTGATGCGCAAAACTTGCCGCATTTGGCACGCGGCTTCAAAATTGTGTTTTTTGCAATCAAATCGCTACCTCATATTTTACTTTCTCCTCTATCAAATAAGTATGGATCTGTGAGAATTTATTATTATTATTTTAAGAAAGTGAAGTTGAAAACCTTTCGCTTTTCTAAATTGCTAATTATGTTATTTCTGTGATGCTGTAGAAGAAATTAAAAAAGAAACTTAAACAATTTTATTAGAAAAAAAGATTAATTTCGGAGAAAAAAAAATTTGCTACTTTTCAAATAAACAATAAATAGCATATTTCGGTTTAAAAACTGGTTAAATGAAACCAAAAAAAAGTAACTTGTTTAGAAATAGTAGATAAATCATTTCATCTCAATATATGAAACTTTTTACGCATTAAAACCATTTCAAAGTAAGATACAGTTATTCTCAATTTGATATTCATTATTATCATTTTTTAATTTTTAGAAAGCTGACATATTTTGAAATAAATAAAATAAAATTACCTCCCTAAGTACTTTTATTGAACTGCTTTCAAAATATTCAATCCATGATGCATCGAATTTTAACTACAGATATTAATCTCTTTTTAATAAATTGGAGGCTTTAAAGTTGATATGATAGCAGTATAATATTTTAATGCCATTTTATAGGGTATTTAACTTACATACTATTTAGTGCGTATTCAAATTGATATGTTAAACAGTGACAGATAAATTATTTAAATTAATTAAAATCATTTTCTTATCAATTTTCGTTTGTTTGACCTTTTATAAAATTACTTTTAAACTTGTGATTTAACCTTTTAATATGCATAAAAATGATATTTGCATACTTTTTTTTAATTACCCCCCCTCCCCCCCCAAAAAATGAAGCTATATTGTTATTTAAAAATATCCAATGTATCTATTTTATATCTAAACATAAGTTTAACGAGTCTATTTTCTATGTATATATTGCTCTCTATTTTAGAAGTTAAACAAGTTTTATGTAAAAATTGCTATACGAAAATGCAAATAAAAATAAATATGATGAGCAATAAATTTGTGTTAAGTAAAAAAAGAAAGTTAAATATTTCCTTATTTTTATTTTTGACTTTATTTTCATTATTGGTATTTTTATTGCAATCATTAACCAGGGTTTCAGGAAAAATGTGTAAGGACAAATTGCTCTTATAATCAGAAAATGTGATCCTTTTAAACCTAACATCACATAAGGTAGATCAGTATTTAAAATATAAAACTCCACTGACCTAGATTTTAAGTTTGTTGTTGCAAAATACCTTTTGTATGTTTTACATTAACAAAGTTTTTTCTTTCTTTTTGGACAATTAGTTTTTCCAAAATTTTAGTTGGGTTTTGGTTTATATTTAAAGTACTACCTGTGTCATTAATATATTTAACAAGATAGTTTTATTAGTCACAATCGGGTATTTGTCATTTTTATTGTTTTGTATCCGGATACTAATAATTGTCAATTTTATGGTTAATCACTTTGTTGTTTTGGCTGGGTTTGATTTTCAATTGTAAAAAAATTAGATTTCTTAATACTATCTTGGCCTCAATGATAAGCATTAGTTATCCCAAGCTTATCGCAGTATTTAAATGGCTTGGGATGCCTCTGGTGTATCCCTCCTCTTATGATATGCTTTCAAAGCCATGTGTGACCAGGCTTAATATTCTAGGAAGTTTTATAATTGAGATTTTTTTTTAGTCAAATTTACGCGAAATTTTATCATTCATGAAATTTTTCTGTAATATACAGGGTGTCCCAAAAGGTCGTTTACAAACTTAACATGCTGGTCTGTCATATCATGATGAACAAGATTTACATAGGAACTTGTGTCCAAAAATTAAAACTGCGACTGCTAGAGGGCGATAATTGCACGAAAACGAGAGCGAATTGACAAAACATACCATAGATTATAAACTAGGCGATTGCAAATGGAATTTGCGATGGATTACGCGTAAATGTGGTGGGAGAACGAAATTACATTAACCTAAACAGTGAAATTCGATATTTTTTTTCTCCTCCTCGACTAGCCATGATGAATAAAAATAACTCATTAATTCATTTTAGTAGAGAATTAAAAAAGAAAATAACCTTTTTATTCTTAGGATCACGTTACAAATAAACTGTATTTATATTTTATTAAGCGCAATAATTTATATTTTATAAAACGATCTAGTTTTTTGATTAACAGATTTAATTTTTTAATTTTTTTTTACAAGAATTGTGCTTGTGAAGAAATAAAAATAATTTATTAATGAACCAATCACAGAATAATGTAAACTTTTTTATGAAAATTTTTTTTAGAAATTAACAAAGACATATTATTTATTAGAAAAAAAATTTGAAGTATTCAAAAATGTTATCACGCTTTAAAGTAAAAATTTCTTGCAAATGTAAAAATCAATATTTTTAAAATTTTAAAGTAATCGGAAATTCGCTAGTGAAAAAAGAAATATGTGAAATAATTTCAAGAAAGGAAAAATGTACAAATGAAGGGATTTTTCTGCAATGACCTATATCGCGTTTGTTTTATTACTAGAAGCACTTATTGCAAAAAAATATTTATTAAATAACTTTTTTTTCAATGGGATGAGATCTTAAACTTCGTGAAAAATTGATTCAATTCCTTAATATATATAAAAGTCCGTAAATACTTCATTTATTATGGAGGTCATATATACCCAGGGCTAAAGAGAATACAAGGGCTAGTTCACTCCGCTCTTAGAGCTGAAGCTACGATTTCCCTCCTCATGACGTCACTGTGTCCACAGATCTCGGAGATCCCAAGCAAAAATATGATAACTTTGCATCTTTCTCTTTGTAAAAATAAGTTAGACTTTTTCTGNATTTTTTTTCTCCTCATCCAAACCTGCACTTATCGCCCTCTAGCGGTCTCAGTTTTAATTTTCGGACACAAGTTCCTATGTAAATCTTGTTCATCATGATATGACAGACCAGCATGTTAAGTTTGTAAACGACCTTTTGGGACACCCTGTATAAATTCTAATAGGTCGTGAGCCGAAAACAAACTTGAGAAAATTAATATCACACGATTAATAAAGTGTAAAGTTAATCAACTCCCATTTGGCTATAATTGCATAAAATATCACTGGTTTTTATTTTTTGGGTAGCTTGTGAGCTCTTCTAAATACCTTTGTTTCATTGAAAGAACGCATAATATCGTGAACACTACATGTATAACAGGGGTTCCCAACTTGCATAAGGGCCGCAATTAAAAACACCAGTCAAATGGCGGGCCGCAACTTTATAAAAATTTTATGTAGGATTCTTTTATGTTTGAGGCAACATAAAGTATTACTGTCATATTTTTATCATGTTGTACAAAACAAAAGTATTGAATTACAAATTAAAAGAAGAAGTAGATATTTAAAAATATGTAATTGCATATTAAAAAATTCCTGCTACAATAACTTTAAGGTTAAACAGACATCAAATTGCCAAGATCAATTGTCAACTTAAAAGTATTTAAGACCCATATAGATTTTTTTACGAAATTTGTCTACAAAAAATGACAACTAATATATTAGTTCGCGGTTCGGCAGTTGGTAACCACTGATGTATAATAATATTGAATGGCGCTCTTTTCCGAGTTTAGGCAATTGGAAGTGGTAACCCAGA